GAGGACTCCATGGACCTGATCGCCAAGCTGCCTTGCATCGCCGCCAAGATCTACCGCAACCTGTACCGCGAGGGCAGCAGCATCGGGGCCATCGACCCCAGCCTGGACTGGTCCCATAACTTCACCAACATGCTGGGCTACAGCGACCCCCAGTTCATCGAGCTCATGCGGCTCTACCTCACCATCCACAGGTGCGAACCGCGTGTGGGGCGTGGGGGCCGGGAGGGGCTGCGGCTGGGAGCGAGGCTGGCGCGGTGGAGCCGCCCTGGGGAGAGGCAGGAGTGTCCCTGCGTGGGAGGAGGAGGTTGGAACTCCAGAGCCCTGTAACCAGGGCAGAGGGGAGCCCTGCCCCGGTCGGCAGAGCTCAGGCAGGCCGGGCTCTGAGCCCCCCGCAGTTCAGCGCAGGCCGGGGTGGAACCGGGGCTCTGAAGGCTGCAGCTGCTTTCCGGGGGAGCTGGATCCAGCCTCCCCATCCCACAGCAGCCCCCCACCCTGAGAGAAGCTGCTCCCTGAATTGGCCGGGCGGGCTGGCAGCCCCCAGCTCAGGCAGTAGGTCGGCTGCCGCCCTCTGCTAACCGTCTCCTCCCTGCAGTGATCACGAGGGCGGGAACGTCAGCGCCCACACCAGCCACCTGGTGGGCAGCGCCCTCTCCGACCCGTACCTCGCCTTCGCCGCGGCCATGAACGGCCTGGCCGGGCCGCTGCACGGCCTCGCCAATCAGGTAGGGGTCGCGTGGCCTGCGTGGTGGGGGGTGGGGAGAGGGGGACACGGTCCCGGCCTCACCCCCGTGCCCTCTCTCGGCGCAGGAGGTGCTGGTGTGGCTGACAAACCTGCAGAAGGAACTGGGCCAGGACGTGCCTGATGAGAAGCTGCGAGATTTCATCTGGAACACGCTGAACTCCGGCCGGGTGAGTCCCCCTGGGCTGTGGGAGCAGTGTTGAGTCTGGGCGACTGCCCCCCACCGCCCCCCATCTGCGCTAACCCCAGGCCTCCTGTCGCCGCAGGTGGTCCCCGGCTACGGCCACGCCGTGCTGAGGAAGACGGACCCCCGCTACACCTGCCAGCGGGAGTTCGCCCTCAAGCACCTCCCCAAGGACCCCATGTTCAAACTGGTGGCGCAGCTCTACAAGATCGTCCCCAACGTGCTCCTGGAGCAGGGCAAGGCCAAGAACCCCTGGCCCAACGTGGACGCGCACAGCGGGGTGCTGCTGCAGGTAAGGCGCCAGCTCCCTTGGGGC